CGGTCCTAAATATGGATGGACACATCTGTGCGTTTCTGCCGCATATTTGCACTAATGCAACAAAAACGACAGAGAGAATAAATCCGACACAAAGGTTGTAAAGAATCTGATAGGTAAGTAAATAAAGCAAAATACTATAGTATTATAATAAATACAAAATCCAAAATAGAAAGTAGAACAATAGTGTAAATAGTATTTATAAGCATAAAAGTATTATAATAATAATTTTCTGTATTTATAAGATACACAATATCTTTTGCGTAATAAAATGTTCCAATTCATGGAAGATAGATAATACAATGCATTATCTTTCCAAAAATTGTGAAAGACTTGTGTGATGATTGGTTCCGTCATTTTTAGGGAGGGTCTAACTTCTGATCCAATAAAAAGAAATCTATAAAATCACCGGACTCTATATTCTAGGAACACTAGTATAGATATGTAGTGTCGATAATGCCAGTTCTACATTAATTGCAAGCTGATCATAAATTTGTTGTGACAGCCAATCTGAAGCTTGGATTTTGAAATAAACGTTTCATATTAGCTGTCGCAACAAACTTGCAATCAGCTTGCAACTAATGTAGAACCAGCTTAATGGACAATTGGAACGCAACTTGTGTCGTCGTGTGCACGAATGTGTGTCTAGGAATATTGCAATTGGAAAAAAGGCTCTCATGTCCTTTCTCAGGTTTCTCTCTGCTCATAGACACGCTTATTCCTTAGCGTTGTCTTCTTCCACCATGGCTGATAGTATAGCATAGGAATTTGGAGTAATTTGGAGTCACTTCCTTTGAATTCTTCCACGTTTTAGAATCATTTAATCGGTATGCATTGATATATCGCATTACGTTGTTTCTGTTCCAACTTTTTATATGAGATAAATTATTTTAAAATATTATTATAATAATATTGATATAATTTATTTCGGAAGTATTTTGAAATTTTGGCAATTACGAATTGAATTATAGGTTATAAGTGGAATTAACAGCTTTTACGTTCATGACAATTAAAAGACAATCAATGTGACAGTCAATGTGTAAATTTAATGCATTTTTGCTTCTTCGTATTTTTCTTACTTATTTAGTCTTTATTCAGTTTTTTCTTTTGCTTTTTCAGTTTTCTTAAGTGACACATTTAGGAGCAACATTTTTTTTGCCAAATTTGTTCATTTCACAAAAAAACATCTTTGGTATTTTTTAATCCATTTTTATGATTGTGTATGCTAAACTAAACAATTATTTTATTTTTAATTTATTTTATATTTTTTGTCTACGTCTGTTATTTTATTTTATACCATATGTTTTATGATTTTTATGACTTTTTTTATATGGTTTATAGTTTTGTCCTATAATATATTTGATATATTTCATGTATCAATTTATTTATGATATAGTCAATTTTTAAAATTTTTCTAAATTAGCATATCATTATGCCGCCAAAAAAATCAATGGAGGAGACGGATCGTTTGACCCGTATAGCGATTGTGAATTCTGACAAATGTAAACCTAAACGATGTAGACAAGAATGTAAGAGATCTTGTCCTGTAGTACGAATGGGAAAACTTTGTATAGAAGTTAATCCAAACAGTAAAATAGCAGCCATCTCTGAAGAACTATGTATTGGTTGTGGTATCTGTGTCAAGGTAATTTCATTCTATAATAAAATTATATAATGATTTTATATAATGATATAAAAGACTTTTGATGCAATGAATAACTCTTTCTATTAAACTTTGAGATATTTAGAATGATGATTAAAGAGAAGTACTCAAGATTACTTACGTATAATTATTATCTCGAAATATTAATACAATAATAATAAATAATTTTTAGTATTGATAATGATAAAAGATTGTTTCTTGTAGAAATGTCCGTTTGAAGCGATATCTATTATTAATCTTCCTAGTAATTTAGAGAAGGAAACAACGCATCGTTATTCTAAGAACTCATTTAAGTTACACAGACTTCCTATTCCACGCCCTGGTGAAGTTTTAGGGCTCGTAGGAACTAATGGAATTGGTAAATCGACTGCCCTTAAAATTTTAGCTGGGAAACAAAAACCAAATTTGGGAAGATATTCTGTATGTGTATATTCCTATATCTCATAATACATATAACACATATGTATGTGCATTTATTATTAAAATGGATAATAAAGCAATAGCATGAAAAACTTTTTTATTCAAATAGGATCCACCAGACTGGACAGAGATTTTGAGCCATTTTAGAGGTAGCGAGTTACAAAATTATTTTACAAAAATTTTGGAAGATGATTTGAAGGCTCTTATTAAACCTCAATATGTTGATCAAATTCCTAAAGCTGTGAAAGGTACTGTGCAGCAGCTTTTAGATAAAAAAGATGAATGCAAGAATCAGATGGAAATTTGTGAAATGCTCGGTAAATACGAATTTTTATCTTTTTTTTTCATCATTGTTTTCGTTAAGATTGATTTGAGACACTGATAGAAAAATTTTAATAATCTCTGTTCTATACCTTCATTGATACATATTTTTTTCAGATTTGCTACATATACGTGATCGAGGTATCGAAGCACTTTCTGGTGGTGAACTTCAACGGTTTGCTTGTGCAATGGTATGCATCCAAAATGGAGATATTTTCATGTTTGATGAGCCTTCTTCTTATCTAGATGTCAAGCAGCGTCTCAATGCTGCTGTGACTATTAGGTCTCTTATTCATCCAGACAAGTAAATATTTGTAAAAAGATGATTAATTTTTATTAAATTGTTAATATTTATATAAATTTATTAATTTATAAATTTAAGTTTATAAATTTATTAATTTATAAATTTAAGTTTATAAATTTATTAATTATTTGTTTAATATATCAGGTTCATAATAGTTGTGGAGCATGATTTATCGGTTTTGGACTATTTATCTGATTTTATTTGTTGCCTATATGGAGTTCCTGGGGCATATGGCGTTGTTACCATGCCTTTTTCCGTAAGAGAAGGGATAAACATTTTCCTCGATGGGTTTGTTCCTACGGAAAATTTACGATTTCGTGAAGAATCTCTCGTATTTAAAGTGGCAGAAAGTGCAACTGAGGAAGAAGTGAAACGCATGAATCATTACGAGTATCCTGCTATGACGAAAACAATGGGAACGTTCAAGTTGAATGTCGAGAAAGGGCAATTTACCGATTCGGAAATACTCGTTTTATTAGGAGAAAATGGGACTGGTAAAACAACGTTTATTAGAATGCTGGCTGGTAATTTACCTCCAGATGATGGATCAGGTATGCTTGTATGTGTGAAAGTATAAGTAGATGTAGTATCTGTCATTAGCAGTAGGACTACTTAAAAAGCAGTGTAAATTCTATGACATTTTCGATTAAATAAATGGGATAAAATAAATCTTTATTTACATGATGCTTTATGACGATCTTTTTTTTTATTCAAATTTTTTCTTAAATGTTATTTAAGATTTATATAATAATTCTAACAGTTTGCTTGATATAAATTGTATTAATGAAATTGCTATTTTGCAGAAAGTATTCCTCAATTGCACATCAGTTATAAACCACAAAAGATAAGTCCCAAATCTCAAGGTATTGTCAGGCAGCTATTACACGAGAAGATCCGAGATGCATACGTGCATCCTCAATTTGTAACTGATGTAATGAAGCCTTTGAAGATTGATGACATTATGGATCAAGAAGTGCAAAATCTTTCTGGTGGAGAGTTACAACGAGTTGCATTAGCTCTTTGTCTAGGAAAACCAGCTGATGTTTATTTAATTGATGAACCATCCGCATATTTGGATTCCGAACAACGTTTAGTTGCTGCAAAAGTCATCAAGAGGTATGTAATAAATAAATATTCTTTTTAGAAAGATATGAATTAGTAAATTAATATTAAAAATAATTTATTTCACTTCAGTATATACAATAGCCAAAGAAGAGACTTGATTTACAAAACTTTTTCATTCTTAATTCTCCTACTTTTCCGTCCATATCTCTTATGCCCATTTTACTTACAATATTTTATCTTTCTATCCACCCTTATTCTTTTTTCTTTGTTTTTATTTTTTCTCTTTACTCTATTATCATTGTATTCACAGCTTATCCAATTAACATTAAATACTTCTGAAAAGTTCATAAAATGTTCCTAAAATCCCAAAATAACTTTTTCCCAGATTCTTACTTACGAGTTAATGCCTCTCTGTCGTGACTCTCTTGGTAGAGATGTATTTTGTTCGTGGGTGAGTGATTGTTGTAATATATTGTACTATTCTGAATCTTTTATTGCTATATGAACATTTTGTGAAATTTCTTTTATTGTTCCGGAATATTCGGCACATTGGCAATACAAATCGAACCTTATATATAATTTTTTACAATGCTCCTCAATCCGCATCTGTATACAATATTATATGCTACTATCCTTTTAAATCTCCTTTTTCTCTGTGCTCCTTGTTTCATTTACTTCCTCTCTCTCTCTCTCTCTCTCTCTCTCTCTCTCTCTCTCTCTCTTTCTCTCTCTCTCTCTCTCTCTCAACACTTTATCTCTAGTTTTTCAGTTTTCTTGGCACCTCTTTTTTCATTTCTCTTTTCCTCATGATCTATTTAATATTTTTCCTTCCTTCTTGAAAATTTTTTCTTTATCTAGTAAATGAATACTATAAAAATTGCAATTTTTATATTTCAGATTTATATTACACGCAAAGAAAACAGGATTTGTAGTAGAACATGATTTCATCATGGCTACGTACTTAGCTGATCGCGTGATAGTATTTTCTGGTACACCGTCTTTAGCAACCACTGCTCATAGTCCTCAATCTTTGTTAAATGGTATGAATAGATTTTTAGAATTATTGGGTATCACTTTCAGAAGAGATCCCAACAATTTTAGACCAAGAATCAATAAGAATCAATCGGTAAAGGTATGTATAACTTTAGTTGATATAAATTTCTCTAAGATAGAATTTATATTCTATTTATTTTTGATACTTTTTGAAAACATTAATAATTATAACATAAATTACAATTTGATTAGTAATATAAAATATATTTTTAAAGAATATTCTCTATGCATTTTATTATCCAAATAATTAATAATTAGTTCCTTTTTATTTTTTATTTAAAAATATATATGCGCATACACGTATTAAAAAAAAAGTAAATTGCATTACTTAAAATACATCTTCCTGTATTTTAAGAGACACAAATTTAATCAACTTCTTTTACAGGATTTGGAACAGAAAAGAGCTGGTCAATATTTCTTTTTAGAAGAATAAAATATACCTTGTCGTTAGTGCAAGTTGAATGACGGCACATATAAGTGTTAAGGAAATTTTTTAATCTTTATACTTTTTAAATACCAGGAATATGAATACACAATATATTTCGTAATAGAATATTGATGCTATACATTCTATGTGATTGTCTGGAATATTGTTTAATAACAATGTTATTTAGCAAGGAAAATAATTATATTATTGTGCAAATAACGTAAAATATATTACATAACATAATTTAATAAATATGTAGCGAAGATAAAGAAATCAAGAATGTATTATAAAAAAAGTATATTTGGCACATTATAAAATATGCATGTTTCTAATAAGATTCTAATTATGAGCATATTTACATGTATGTTGTTATAACAATGGAATAATATTAAACTGCAAACAATATAATAACAAACTTGTCAAATCATTTTACTTTAAATAACGATTATTGAAAGCGTAATGTTGATAATGTTGATAATAATATCAATGGAGCCAACATAAAAAGAGAAAATAATAGCTGTATTCATGCCAAATCAGAGAAGAACTTATGCCCGTATTCACAGTCAGGCCTTATATTTAAGGCTTCCTTAAATTTATCTTCAGATACTGTACGAATTATTTCATTTTTGGCTGCTGAGTATCTAAAGATAAATTTAAGGAAGTCTTAAATATAAGGTCTGACTATGAATACGAGCATTAGGTACCTATTATGGAAATATTTGAAATGAATTCTGATCGGAATTATTCAATTATTCCTTACACTTTTATTGTGTCTTCTAGGGAAAACAGAATAATTCCAATTGGAATTAATTTCGACATATTTCATAATAATAAATAGGTTCATATATATCCTGAGAATGGTTTTCCTAAAATTAGAAGTTTTTCTAAGTTCAAAGGGATGAAATGGAAAAATCGATCCACATTTAATAATTATACACTTTAGCACAATCACCTCAAAAATCAAAATAAAATTAGGCTTATTCGTGCGTTTTTGCATGAAATAAAAGAATTTGGTACAAAAATGTTCTGCTCTGCGATACGAGATATTAAGCCGGTTCTACATTAGTTGCAAGCTGATCGCAAGTTTGTTACGACAGCCAATATGAAGCTTTGATTTCAAAATGTGAGTTTCAGATTGACTGTCGCAACAAACTTGCGATCAGCTTGCAACTAATGTAAAACCTGTTTTAAGCATTATTATAGCCGTAGCACAGATTCTTGCATAATTTATAGTGCATGAAGGAATCAACCAATTGAAATTCTTCTTTTCATGGAATGTGTCACGTCCGCAATAACTTTATTTTTGTCCAAACTGACTTTTCCGAATAAATTTATCGAATCGATGTTGAATCGACATCGATGTCGATTTCATTATCATTTCTAATTGGGCAGACCTTATATTTAAGGGTTCCTTAAATTTAAGGCTTCCTTTAGATACTCTATGAATTATTTCATTGGTTGCTGAGCACCTAAAGATAAATTCAAGGAAGCCTTAAGAACAAAATCTGACTGTGAATACTCAAGTCAGAAATAATTTCTCGAAAAGACGCCGTTTCGATGTCGTTGGATTTTTGGCTCTAATTTCGATTAATTTTCGAGTTGGAAATAAAATCTTGAATTAATGTAATCAACATAAAAATATACTATTAGTGTCACTAATGCAATAAGTAAATTCGACAAGTAGTGTCACTAATAGTAATAGTGATGGAGAAAATTCATTAAAATTTCATTAAAATTTTATTGTGGAAATAAGTATTATTGATCATATTTCAGAGAATACGCGACAAAATTATAATAAAAAAAATTTATTTTATGAATTCGAGAACTAATTTTATTTTAATTTTATGATGCACCCATGCGCGATCACCCATCCGAACTTGCATTTACCATATTTCATTTCTGAATGATCATACGGAAACTATAATGCTAATGAACACCTGTAATGCTAATGGATGTATAGTTGTAACATATTTGTTCAAAGATGTTGTGAAAGAAGCGGAACACATAAAAAAAATATAATTAATGTTAAATATAGTAATAATGTACAAATGATGACATCTATGATAATAACTTGTTTTTAATAATACTATAAAATATTATTTTTATTAGCTGAAATAATAC